CTCTCTCTCTCTCTCTCTCTCTCTCTCTCTCTCTCTCTCTCTCTCTCCTCTTTGGCTGTTCTCTCTCACACCTACAAGAAAAATCTTAACCTAGTCCATGGATGGGTCGTGTCTGCACCCCCTGAAATATACTCACTAGCTGATACATGTCCTATCTGGCTTTACCATCTGTTTTCTTCAAGGAATTTAGAGCCTGTTGGGGATAGAGGTGCATACTGTTTCCTTCTTGGCTCTCCTCTTACTAGACGCAAACTAGAGGTGTAACAGGTCTACCACTAACCTTTAATAGGAATAAGTCAAGAATTAACACAGGCAGAAAGTGAGAAATTGAGATGGGAAAGTTTATTCTTTTTAATAAAGGAGACTTCTTGTTTATTGTTCATAAAATTATAATGTAAAGTTAATGATTATACCCCACTGTTTCAGTCTCAGTTACTGACCTCGGTAGATTTCTTCAGAAACCTCACTGCAAACTATCTTAGAGTCAGCAAATCCAAGTGGGGTGCAAGCAGCACTGAACAGTCTTTCCATTCAATGAGAGGTATCGGGAGGGTCTGTCTAGCTGATGCTCAGAGCAGCCTTCCTGGCTCCAACTGGGGCAAAAATGGAATTTCCACTTCGGCCCAAGGATTTATGGTTGTATCTAGGGTGGATCCCCAAAGAATTGATTGGCCCAAATCCAGGCTGGGCTGATAGTGGACAACATAAAATATCCATGAGAGAATATAAAGTATATGAAAGTATAAAAGTATACTTTTATAAAGTATAAAAAGTGCTTAAGTTTAGGTTGGAGAGGTGTTTCCATGCCTTAGGAGCCCATGTTGTCTTGTGGGAGTGACATAATTTACAGAACATTTCCATAAGGGTCAAACTGAGTCACACCTGTCCCTGCCTGTGTAACAACAAGCCTGTGTAACACTTCACAATCAGCAAATCTCCCAGTGTCCTCTGAATACTGGAGTGGCACCCAATGCCCATGCCCTTCCTGCTGCTTCTGAAGCCGAATGTTCAGGACTGCAGACAGGAAGGTTGAGCCCTAGATGAAGAAATACACATCCGTCTAACAACTGCACAACTCCAATGCCAGGCTGTTTGGAACCATTTATGTCCCACTTAAATTATATTTACATATTATATAATATTCAAATGCTTTATAAAAAAGATAAAAACTCAGAACACAAGACAGGATATTCTGAACTGTCGAAGCATTGTACTTTTTCATATTTACTAGCGTCTATGTAATTTTATAGCTTGAAAGCCTATTAATCGCCACATAAAAATGCTATTATAAATATAATATAAACTATTCAAAAGCCACTTTATTTATCAGCTTAAAATCATTTAATTGATGTACTGAGCCAATTTAGGTGCGTTTATCCTCAAAGAGCTAGACCTGTGATTATTTCAGCCCAGCTCAGCTGTCCCAGAGACTGTGGCTGAAATCACCTTGAATGCAGAAATGATGAAGAGTAAGTTTGCTCACATTCAATATTAGCCAAACTTAAATAATGGTCAAAGGCTAAGAATTCAACTTTGATTGCAAAATTTGTTGATATTTTTGCTACCTTTGCCTAAATTCCTATAATCATATAGCTTATTATTACGTTGTTCAACAAATAAATCACTTTAATAATTATAATTAAATTACAGATAGGAATAAACAAACCTATTTGAATAGGATTGATGCAAAATAAGCAGAAATCAAAGCCACACCAAATTCTTACTTGAGGGCTGGAGAGAGATCCATAACTAAATTTTTAATTGAGCAAAATGTCTTACAAATGTTTGCTCTTATTTAACATTGCCCAAAGTAAACAGTGATGACAGATTTCAAAACGTTTTCAGTTTGTGTTAGAAAACTCATGGCTGATGCTCTCTAGAGTTCTACAGTAGAAACATGTCAGGTCCAAAGGGTAGCACCATGCCCTACACTAATCAGGGCAAGCCTACTGACTTGGCCCAAAATGGAGTCTATGCCTAACTCAACCTGGATAGATAAAAGCCAGTATTCCTCACGAACTTGTGAAATAAGTTCCCATCAGCCAAAAGCAGTCATTTTCCTTATGTGCAGCAGAAGGGACATGGGGCTCCACTGACATGTGTCTGTGGCTGCATATTAAAGCCCATGCTGCCGTCAGACTCCCTCATGACAGCACTTAGTATACAAGCCACCACCCTAGCATGCTGGCCCTTGGCACCTCAGAACCCAGCTCTCTTCAGAGCCCTCAGCCCTTGGTACTCCTGCTCGTCTCAGCTTCTCTCTCCTTCTCTGCCTCTTGCTGTCTCTCGCTCCCTTTCGGCTCTTGTTTTGCACTCTCCGCCTCTTGCTCAACTTATCTCTGGCAGATACGCCCATAGCCAGTCTGTTTCTCTGTCTCTCTTGTTGGACTCTTCCAGATGCTTCTAGATACTTTCTTATTTACGAGAAAAGCCTTCCTAATTATGAAGTGGTCATTTGGTGGTTTCTTTACTGCACTCCTCACATATAAACCCTTGCTAAATGAACCCAAATTAAAAAAAAAAAAAAAAGAGAGAGAATACATTTCTCTATCAGTTATGTCTCTGGTACAGTTACGCAAAGTGAGACAGGCATATAGGAAAGGTACCGTCAACCATTTAAAGTAAGCACTACTGTTTCTTTTAACCCACAAGGACAAAGCCTGGGAAGTATATTCATAGCAACACATTTGACCAGAAAGCTCAGGGCCTGCCACCTATTCCTCAAGAACATCACTGGAAATATCAAATGCATATTCCTTAAAATAAAAGGGGAAGGGGAAGGACTTAAATTATAAAAATTAAAGACAGATTTAAAATATGAACACAATATTACATACTGGCAGAACAAAAAAATACTTGGGAAATGAGGCTCACATACTTTCACTATATCCTGTGGCTATGTTCTCCTTTTCTTCTACAGATTTTTCTACATGACAATTCTCTCCCAAACTGACATTATAGCTGTGTGCTTCATCTTCAGGAGAGGCTGATGCAGGAGGAGTGGTACCTTCTTTGGGGGAGCCTTTTTCATCACCTGGGTCTCTGGTTTCTGTACTACTTCTTTTCAAGGGTGTGATGAGGTAAGCAGGACTACACAGGATGTCAGGGTTACAGCTTCCCTCTGGGTCTGTATCTTCCCTCAGCTGAGGGCCAGGCTGCCTGCAATGCCCTGGGCTGTCGTTAGCAGAGCTCTTTACCAAAGGCAAGCAAGTAGAAGCTGTATTCATGTCATTTTTGTCAGGTTTCTCAAGACTAGAAGTACTTTTTGAAATTAAGTCACTAATGCTGATGGATCTGTGTTTTTCACCAATGCAGGTAAAATCACACATTTCTAGCATGTTTTTTCGATCCCATTTTGAGAGTCCTCTGCAGTGGAACAGAGAAGGGCTTGCTAGTGGCTGAGCCACGGGAGGAAGTTTCTCTGAATTCCTCTCCTTGAGATTATCAGGGGAAAAATAGTCCTCATACGAAGAAGCCTCAACGTCATGAGTCCCCGTGATGAGTCCAGTTGTGGGCTGTAAGCTATGGTTGGACTTGAATAACTCTAGTGCCAGAGAAGGCTTTCTCTTGTACCCCTTCTTCAGTTTTCCTTTCGGAGATGAACCCAAGTCAGCTGCCCTTTTTCTCTTTGCTGAAGAACTCTTGGGTCCCAAGTGTACTACATGTCCTTCTATGAAAGATTCTGTAGGAGACAGACAGGGCTTCTCATCAGGCATCCCCTGAGATGCCCCAGCAGCTTGCTTTCTCTCAGAATCAGCTACCACCCCTGTAGCATCGTTCTGCAAGTTGATACTCTCCTTTGAAGGACTGTCTGGAGCTTTCTGAGGAGTTGGCTGCCTGAGGTGGTTGGGTGATGCTGAACCATAAAAACTGCTTGCCCTCAGCACAGGTGAGGAAGAGCATGTGATCCTGGCCATCTCATTGGCAGATCTTCCCAGTTTCCTTTCTTTATCTCCAAAGAGACCATCTAAAGATGAGTGAGAACCACTGGCAAAGGATTCATCTGGAGAGATCAAGAAAGAATCACCTTTAAAATGTGCAAGTGACCATAAGTACCTTGTTTTCTTTTAAGGACAGGGTCTCACTGTGGAAGCCTAGCTGGCATGGATCTCAAGAGATCTGCCTGGCCCTGCCTCCCAAATGCTGGCTTGGTTTAAAGGTATGTGCCACCATGCCTGACTAGGCTTTGGGCTTCTATAAACCATTTCCCCTGATAAATAGAACTCAGCTCCTACTACCTGTCCCCTATTCTTCTGGAAAGTCCTCATGTTTTATTTATACCTCAAATGAACCACATGGGGCTCTCAGTATTCTGACCTCTCGTGAAGTCTGACTTTTCTCAGAAGTAATGCTATGCTGTCCACCACCTCAAGTCTCCAAGCTCCCCACACCAGTCTCAGCTTTCTGACACATTTTGCTGTGTGCAAACACAACTCATCCTTCAAAACCACCTGAGTGTCAGTGTCGCCTGTGAATCTCCTGATCCTGTCAGGTTACAGTGTTAGCCCCTCCCAGGACACAGCAATATTCGTCACAGCATAAGGCTTCTGTTCTCTCATTATGCTGAGGTACTGGAGGGCAGTTGGCACTTTCTGCTCATTGGGAGCCTGTGGTCATCACTCAGACGTGGTTCTCCACTGGCACAGGGCTGCCCAGCTGAGGGCTTCCTTTTTAGAGAAAGGACACAGTCTGGAGCGAATGCTGGGATAGACAACAGGAGCTCAGCTTTAAGAAAAAAGTAGCAGAGACATCCTGTCCTTAAAGCTGTGCTCTGGGAAGGGAGGGGTGGCAGCCAGCTTGACACTGGGCCTATGCAGACGTGCTTCAAAGGCAGCAGCTAGTAATACTGAGATTTACTTTTAGCAACTGAATGCTTTAATCACTCTCCAATAAGCCTCAACACAGTGTGGCACATCATTAAGAGCATAAATTCTTAGACTACTTATGTCAGAAGCCTGGGTGTATCACTTGCAACCTCAGGATCTTGCGTAATCCACTTGACCTCCCTGTGTCCTGGTTTTCTCTTCTGTGAAATGGGAGTGGGGATGAGCCTACCTCATGGAGACTTGGGGCGTGTGTGTGATACAGTGAGACACAACAGTGCAGGGAAAAGGAAGCCAGCACTGTTATTACCATTCGCTTCCAACCTATGGGAGACAAATCTGAGCAAAGAGAAGATGAATGGGAAACAATCCCAGACCATGCAGGGCAGACTGCCAGAATACACCACACGGACAGGAAGAACACCTAGCTCAATCTCCTCATGTGGCATTTGAAGCCCCTTCGAACACAGGTGTTTAGGGGTCCAGAGACTTCATTTAGGCCCTCTCATGGACTCACGTGAGGAAAGTGTAAGGAACTCAGCACCTGAAAGCTAAATAATCTTGAAAAAAGGTCAAGGACTCCCAAACTACTTGACAAAGACTCTTCAATAATATACTTCATGGGTTAATTAAACACCAAATAACTCCTCTCTACTGCTAACTGTTCTCAGTATACGTTACACTGTATTTAGATTATATATAGTCACAACGATTTCCATAACAAAACAAACAATCAAACAAATCTCCAGGGAGGAACTAGTCGACTTCAAGCAGGGCGTCCATAACACCGTAATACCAAATCTCAAGGAGAAACCTGAGTTAGTTTGACTCAGCTACTTGAGTGTTTAGAACTAACTACATGCAATCTGAGCATGGTGGTGCATTTCTGTAATCTCAGCACTCGCGGAGACAAGAACATGGCTCTAGCTGGAGGCTACCTGTGTCTCTATGGAAGTGCCATGTTAGCCAGAGCTCCACAGTAAAAGTTTATCTCAAAAAGTACAGTGTGAGAGAACACACACACACACACACACACACACACACACACACACACACACACTTTTCAAATCATAAGTTTGTCACAAAAACAAAATACATATTACAATTTTACCTGAACTCACAGGTTGGTGAGAATTGTTCAAGGATGTTTCAAACAGAGTGACACATGGATTCTGCTGAGACTGCTCCAACATCTGGGAAGCTGAAAACATAATGACATGTCATTGAAACTGGAAGGCAGAACTGTCTACTGGACAGACAATAGCCTGTCTACCCATTCCGCTCCTGATCCCATACATACAGGAAATTACTCTTATCTTTCTTCTAAGCTTAACACAATTCGAGTATAAAAACTGCATCAGGTATATTGTAGATGTAAGACTGACAAAATGAATCCCTGTCAATCACTGCCCCACAAGCATGAACACACAATCACATGAGATGGGACTTTCAAAATCCAACTTGTATGGAGTTTAAACCAAATTCACTGAATGTTTTCGGTTTGTTTGAGAACCGAAGTTCCTAATATTTTCCTCCAAGTAAGCAGAAGTCCAGTGCTGACAAAGACATGGGGTAATGTCTGTCACAAGGTGGGGGACGGATATTACTGCATTAGAAAGTATACACAATAATGAACTGTCCCCCAAAACTCAACAGTGTTGCAGTTAAGAAACCTTCAGTTTCATAGAAAATATCTAGATCGATTTAAAAAATGAGGCTCTGGGTGCTATCTTTAAAGACTGTCCATACAAGAGACAAAAACAAACATATCCAAAGATTTTTAAACTTTATTTATTTATTTATTTATTTATTTATTTATTTTTTGTTTTTCGAGACAGGGTTTCTCTGTGTTGCCCTGGCTGTCTTGGAACTCACTCTGTAGACCAGGCTGGCCTCGAACTCAGAAATCCACCTGTCTCTGCCTCCCAAGTGCTGGGATTAAAGGCGTGCGCCACCACCGCCCAACTAAACTTTATTTTTAATTACGTGTATATATGTGTTTCTGTATATGGGTATGGGACATGAGTGTAGAGGAGATACTGGGGTCCCTTCTAGCTGTCGTCACAAGATGTGTTGAGCCACCCAACATTCTTCTTTGAACTGTTCTTAGGTCCTTTGGAAGTACAGTACTTAAACGGTGTTTAAGAGTCATTTTTAGCAGAGGCAGGCTAAATCATTTTTAAAGGATATTCAGAGGATGTTCATTGAGAAAACTTGATAAAATGACTATAAAATAAGGGCATATATACAAAGAAGGTGTGGGCAGAAAGCAGTCCTCGGATGCTGAGGTTACTCATTTTGTTTTGATGCTGGGAACTGAATCCAGGGCTTTGTGCACACTAGGCAAGCACTGAATCACATAGTCTCGGCCCTTTTACATTTACTTTTGAAGCAGTTTTGTTTGGGGCAGGTTGCTTTTGTTTTGCTTTGTTTTGATTTTTTAGGGACAGGCTCCTTTTAATAAATAAATTCAGGCTGTCCTTACAAGATGCTCCTGAACTCCCGCTCCTCCTGCCTCCACCTTTTGAATATTAGGATTTGGATTATGGGCGTGCACCACCACAGCTGGCTTTCAGCTATGATGTTTAAAATCTTGGACTTGGTTTATATACACATTGAATCATTTTGGATGTGCTCATGAGACACACTGTGTACCTGCTTCAGCTGCCATCCTCTGCTTGCTCTGAACAAAACCCTCATGGCATCTCAGTAAAAGCTATAGTCCACCTCAGTCTTATTTGTTACCATGGCTGATACTTACAGGCCTGAGATGCAGATGAGTCTAGCGTAATTTTTAAAGTAGCAAGTGAAGGAAAAGGCTTTAAAAAAAATGTATATGATGTGCCTGGGATGGTAGGTTAATCACAGCTTAAAGGTATGCAGTTAATCACAGCACTTGGGAGGCAGAGGCAGCTGGATCTCTGAGCCACACTGGCTACAAAGCAAGTTGTAGGACAGCTAGGGCTACACAGAGAAATCATGTCTCAAAACCAACAACAAACAAGAATATTCTAATGATCTAAATTAAGTAAGAAATAAACTACAACCCCACACAGAAAGCTCATCATATCATGCCAACTGTACATCCATCAGCAGAGGAGTGGACGTGGTGGGGAGGCAAGCTTTGTTCAGTCACTACATAGTTCATTATTTTACTAAAATGTGCTTATTACTACCCGAGTAATTAAAATACTCTTAAAAGAGACCTGATTAGCTTAATTTATTGTGTTTTTTTTGTAAAAAATGTTTTTTTTATTATTTATTTGTATATGTGTATCTAAATTATACATGTATGTAGGCCAGAAGAGGGCACTGGTTCTCCAGAAGCTGGAGTTATAGACAGTTATGAGTTACCCAGTGTGGGTGCTTGGAACTGAACTCCAGTCCTCGGTAAAGGTACAAAGTGCTCTTCACTTCTGAGCCATTTTTCCAGCTCCTTACAATTTTTGAAAAAGAAAAACAAAGTTAGGATACTGGGATGATGGAGGAGCTGCAAGAACGGAACTGGAGGACACTCATGTCTTCCACATGGGCCCCAATCTTACAAAGTACATTTCTTCTGGAAGAAAATACTAGAAAGGTCTCCACTGAAATTACGTACTAAAATCAGGAAGCACTCAACATATCTAGGCAAGGAGACTGGGGTGCAGCATGACCCCTTGACCCAAGTACTGCAACAAGGAAAAACGGCATCTACGGTAGAGATCAACTAACATTTCTTCTGTAATTCGCCAGCATACATCATTTTACTTTTACAATGTAACCACTTACAGGTAGGGGACAGGTTTTCCCTCTTCTCCTTCATCTCTTGCAGTCTCTTCATCATCCTCACCGGGGAGCTGTATACCAGTGATCGAGGGGACTCAAACAGGAGGACAGGAACCTCGTCATCTGAAAACAAACTTCCATGGTCACACTTTACCAGCAGTTCCTTTAAGAGCCACCCCACTCCCACTGCACTCCTGCTCCCTTCAGTCTCTCTGCCCACAGACAGTATTACTCCTACCATGAACCATGGCACAGCCAGTACAGCTAGCTGCCAGCTGACCCTTGCTGAGCTCTCAGTACAGGGCATGAATCAGTCACCAAGCTGGAGCCAGGCTCTACATGACAACAGGTGTCAGTATCCCCATTTACAGAGGTAGTCATTGAGACACAGGTAAGTTGATATCATGTACACCATGATACAATTAGCAAGAAGCCAGAAAGGCCGAGTGTGGGTTGGCTCCGAAAACTTGTTTTCTATCCAGGTTTTAGAACGAGGTCCTACTGAACACTGCTCGTCCGCCACACACACCCACATTTGAATTTAACCACAGGAAGTGAACCCAACGTGTTTTCCTACAGCATTAAAAGCAAACAAAGTCTATGATTTGCCTGTTTTAGATATGAAACAAAAAGATCTGTGTAGCTGGCATTTGCTACTTTGTGGGTTCTTCTCCCTTCCACCCTTTCAACCCCTAAGACTAGATAAGAGAGGGGAAATGGGGCAGTGTTATCTTTAGACTATGTCTTGCTGGTTAGGGATGTTGAGTTCCTTGGGGAAAGTTTGATCTTTTCAGTTCAGGCTATCTAATTTCTTCTTTGTACACAACTACTTAACAAAAGATGATCAAACAATAACCAACCACCAACCCACCCCTTCTCTAGGGGCAACATTTATCTACCCTCTCAAAAATCCCCAGAATTCCAAACATCACACAATCATAGAAACTACCCTGAAGCTGGCAAGATCACATCCCTGCTAGAGCACGAGGCAAGTCACAGTCAGCTGCTGTGGATAATCTCAAGCAGCTCTATATCCTACACCTGGGATTAAAACAAAAACATATTCCTATAATATTTCTGTGTTTTTCAAAGAAACCAAAATGTTGAAATTGTCATTACAGACCAGGCATTAGTTAAAAAGACAGAATTATATGAAATGGCTTTTCCTGTAATCCTTCCCAGATGAGAATCCCACTGACTTGAACGATGAGGACTATCTGACTGCCCTTGCCAGTGGCTCTATCTGTTACTATTCAGTCTAAGAGAGCTAGTACTTGCTGTGGTCTCCTTCCTCCCTTAAAGCTACCACAGCCTCTGTACTTACCTACAGCTGCCAGGCACATGGGACGTGGCTTACCTAGAGCTGCCTTTTGCCTTTGTAGCTCTTCCGCCATTTTCTTAAATTTCTTTTGAAGTCTTTTGTCATTTTCTGGTGTTTTATGAATAAAATCTTTGGGCTGCATACACTTGTGCTAGGCAAAAAAGTTATAAGCATTAGTAAGAGTGTACTGTTTCCTTTTATTGTTTATTTTAAAAGGTTTACTTGTTGTTATGTGGATAAATGTTGGCCTGCATTTATGCATATATATCACATGCATGCCTGGTGCCCATGGAGGCCAAAAGAGAATGTCAGATCCCCTGAAATTAGAGTTAGGGAAAGTTAAGAGGCTCCATGTAGGTGCTGGGAAAAGAAAGCAACAAGGTCTTGTGCAAGAGAAGTGATCCTGACTGCTGAGCCAACTTTCTAGTCCCTATGCTTGCCAATTGTTTTTAAAACAAGAGAGAAAGCCATTTCCATACAGTTTTGGTAACTTGAATGATATCAAAAATTAATAGAACTTCTTTTTTTTTTTAAGATTTATTTATTTATTATATGAGTACACTGTAGCTGGTCTTCAGACACACACCAGAAGAGGGCATCAAATCTCATTACAGATTGTTGTGAGCCACCATGTGGTTGCTGGGATTTGAACTCAGAACCTCTGGAAGTGCAGTCAGTGCTCTTAACCACTGAGCCATCTCTCCAGCCCTTAAAAGAACTTCTTAATGAGTCGTTTCTTATACTGTATGTGAATTGGGAATTAAGAGATGAAGTAAAAGGCTGCATGCTATCTATGTAACTGTGTTCTGAGCTGTCTCCGCATGCCGACATGCTCAGAAGTAGCAAGGCCTTGGCTCTCTGCTCTCCTCACACCAGCTTCCCTCCAACAACACAGCAACAAACACAGACATCATTATCCCAGTCACTAAAGAGAGGAATCTCCGTTCCCTTGTCTCCACTGCTGCTGCTAATCTTGACAGTGTGCTGTTTCTGGCTCTTGCAGCCTCATGTCCCAGTTTTGTTCTTGACTTACTAGTCAGGTAGGCACTTGGTCATTATCATATTCTTTCGTCAAGCACTGGGCCTCAGCATAGAGAGGCTGCACAAAGGTGAGGAGTGACAGAACAGCTTTGACAGGTGATGGGGCTCTACCAGTAGGAGCTGGGAATGTAAGTTCAGCAGGCTCACTGCTGCGGGCTGAGATGTTCCCAGTGCTGCCTGCGGACATTGGGACAGTTTGTGTAGCCTGTACATATTGTTCTGTTAGGAGGATTAGCAGTTTGTCTGGAGTACTTTTCCCATGAGATGCAGCCGACAGGTGTGTGGGAAGCAGACAACAGAGGTTCCACTCTGTGACCTTAGTGCTGGGCGTCTGTCTACCACTATACAAATGGTGACAGTCAGAAAAGGATTCAGTTGCTTTAAAATTTAAAAAAAAAAAAAAAGATTCCCAGAATGTCAAAACAGCAATGGTTCCAAATCCATACAGTGTGTTGGAGGTCACAGTGACAGAAGCAGGACAGCAGCCTCAAGCAGAGAGACTTACTCCTGCAGCACGGGGGTTAGAGAGGACTGCGGGCAAGAAGACATCTGCACAGAGCCACATAAGAACTGGAAGGGCAGCTGGTGAATGGATTTGAGGAGAGCACGATCCAGACAGAGGGGACAGATAATAGGATGGTGCGTTAAACCTCTTTACTGAGCAGACCACCATGGTGAGCCTAGGGCAGCAGGAGAGGGAGAGAGCAGAAAGTGCCCCCAAGCCCCTGAAATGATGTTTCTCAAGTCGTGTTTAAGGCTTTTAGAAGTGGTAAGTATAAGATGTAAGCAGTCACTATTTGGGGATCAGACTTGACAGAGATTAAAAGTAACACAATGGCACTGGACAGGACAGGGTGCCCTCGCACACTACTGATGGGATCACCACATTTAAGGTGATGTGCAGCGAGCCAACAATTCCACTTTTATGTCTGTGAACACAAGTAGTAAATGCATATCTTGCATGTAACACCTTTCATAAAAGCTGACTCCCTGTGAGTGTTCAGGAAAGGGCCACTCAAAACATGCAGCATAGAATTTACCTGAGCACAATCACACTATTACTTGGGGAAGAAAAGGCAGCCAGTGAACACCTCGCTCACTGTGTGCAGCAGGTACATGTGCTAACATGCAGTAGCTGAAGTGTCAGAGGGAAGAAACATCAGCGATGCCTGCCGTGCCTCAGCTTACTAACAGTCTGAAGGAAGACAGCATGTACCATCGATGTGTTTTCCCAAGTCTTTAACTTCAGCATGTCACAGTCAAGGACTGCCCGGAATCAGATGAGGAGCTCTGGACAAGCCTAGGGGGAACTGCATCATCACTGCCCCATCACCTGGCTTACTGCAGCCAGCATGATGGATATAAATCATGCACTGTCTTCTAGAAGCAGGTAGAAGCCTGCAGCTACTTCTTTTACTCTGTAGGAAGTATACAGTTCTCATCCACTGGATTCAATCTTGATTAGGTCATTAAATCTAACAGTAGTTCTTATATGAGAACCAAATGCTTTGATACCTCATAGTGCACTACACTTAAGAAATACCAGGGGGCTAGAGAGATGGCTCCACAGTTGGGAGCACCGACTGTCCTTGAGAAGGACCTGGGTTCAATTCTCAGCACCCACTTAGCGACCTACACCCATGCAACTCTAACTCCAGATCCAACGCCGTCTTCAAGCCTCATGGGCATCAGGCATGCATGTAGTGCATGGACACAGATGTAAACAAAACATACAAACACATAAACTAAAAATAGAACAGAAAATAAAAGCAACAAAACAACTAAAAGCTGCCTAGCCTTGGGGCACATTTTAACTTTTTTGTTTTGTTTTTTGTTTTTTTGTGGTTTTTTTTGTTTTTGTTTTTCGAGACAGGTATTCTCTGTGTAGCTCTGGCTGTCCTGGAACTCACTCTGTAGACCAGGCTGGCCTCTAACTCAGAAATCTTCCTGCATCTGCCTCCCAAGTGCTGGGATTATAGGCATGTGCCACCACCGCCCGGCACATTTTAACTTCTCAAGGTTAACTACAATCGTCCATTTCCTATAGATTACATCAAAGCATTCATAAACTAAAAAAAAGAAAAACAAACAAACAAAAATCAAAACCAAAAATCCTCTACAGTTAACTAGAAATTTTATGTGAGAATAGCACTGAACTCAATGGCATGCTTAATTTCTAGGAATAAAAACACAAAGGTCCATAAATTCATAATCACCCTGTCTTCAAAGAAATCACATACTTACTTTTTTTCTAATTACGTTTGGTAAATGTTCTTCAGTATTCACTGCAGGGAACAGAGACTCATCAACACGTGCTCCAGCCATCCTGCATCTGTAGAAGGTGTCAAGGTGGCCCAGTGAGTAACTGTCTTTGCTATATACACGCAACAAAGTTAACATACTTTTATAATACATGTAAAATATAAGTCAGTATACATTAGATTTTCCAAAGTCTTCTTAACATGGTCTTCTCTGTCCAATGGAGAAGCAGAAGAGAGTCAGGCATATTAGTAAATACCTGTAATCCAAGCGCTTGGGAATGAGAAAGGTGGAGACATTTCAAGTATCTCCTTAGTGATTGAGAGCGTGTTAGGCTGTTCATACAGCAAGTGTGACACACTGCGTTCAATCCTAAGCACTGCCAAAACAAAATCAGCATTCCCCACACACCTCCATTCCCTACCCTGGAGTTGCAGGGACCACCCAGCTAAAGAGAAATGGGGCAGGCTTTTGAGACACAACCAGGGGTTAGAACAAACACCCAGGCTGATGGGCTCAGGATCAACAGGCTGTGGAGACAGTGGCTGATGTGTCACATATCAGAGCAAGCCTGAAGGTGAGATTATCCATGGACATCCTGGAAGTAATTCTCCAGGAAGGAAACACCCTCCAAACTCCACAAGTGACCAAGAACATGGAAAATTTCTGCCCAGCTCAGAATTAAGTAACCACTGGCCTGTTATAAAACTACGTGGACATCATGGAAGCACACAGTAACAGAGGCAGCCAGAGTCCAGGTAAGAAGAGTATGCCCAGACAACAAGGAAAACAACTACATAGATGTGGTTACACCAGTAGCTTGTACTCAGGCTAACCCAGTGGGAAGTGTCACCATCTAGCACACGGGAACAATGACACAGAAATTTCCCAACAGCACCATTCCATCCAAAGGGCTGGGAAAACACAAGGAAGGTGTGACACCTACTGGCAAAAGGGCAGAAACTCAGTCCCAAAGGTTATGGTTTAGTTTAAGTTTTGTTTTGTTTTAAACTCTCTGGGACACTGCATACTCACAAATGCGACTTGAAAGTTTGAATTAGAACAGGCTGCTCTTCTCTCATCAGTAGTCTGCTGCTACCTGAGACATCTCAGGGAGGGGTGGGGCTCAAAACCCTTTCCTCCAGGGAAGAAATATTGACTGATATGATGACAATTCTAACAGTATTTTCACTGTCTTTGTTTTTCAATTTCCACAAGTGTCTTTTTACATTTATTTTTATCTTATGGGTACAAGTGTTTTGTCTGCATGTTTTCTGTGCACCATTTGTTTGCCTTGTATCCATAGAGACAAGAAGAGCTGTCTTGTGGGTACTGGGAATTGAGCCCAGGTCCCCTATAAGAACAGCCAGTGCTCTGAGCCATCTCTCTACCCTTCATAAATATGTCATAACGGTCTTGCTTTGATTTTGATACTGCTTGATTATAATTATTCTGTGCATAGCCCAGTCACTCCTCTCATTCTTAACTCATTTCTTCTCTTCTGCACGCCTCCTCCTTTTACTAACTGACCTGCTGTAGCTATAATCATCTATCCGACTTATCCGAAATTATCTTATTTCGGGCTCCACCTTATCTAGTCTCACTCATTACTTCCCCACTGATCTAGTTCATCCCTGTCCTTACTCAGCCTGTGTTCCTTCATCCCTACCTTAGTGTCTCTATATCTACAAGCCGATCTCAGCTCCATTACTCCTGAACAGTCAGTTACGGAAGTTACAGCAACGACTTGACTAAGTATTACAATGTTTGCAGCGAGCCTCTCTAGCAGTTGTGGCTGCTTCTATCTATCTATAGATAGTTCACTACACTCACAATCCACTAGGAAGGAATGACATCTCCACCTTCTTACAAACCAGTCCCATTTGAGCATTCAAGTGATTCAAGTGAAAACATACAAACAGTAAATCCAGGCATGGTGCTTCCCACTTAATCCCAGCACTCAAGAGGCAGAGGCAGAGTGAGTTCATACTCAGCCTGGTCTACATAGCAAGTTTCAGGCCAGCTAGAGTTACATGATGAGACCCTGTCTCAAAAGAAGAGTGGAGAAGTTTTGGAGTGTTAGAAAGAGCAATAAGAGAAGTAAATAAAAAGACTATAAACAGGAGAGGAAGAAGTCACTGTTCTTATTTTTAGAAGATACGATCTATTTATTAAGAGACCATGAAGACTCCATCACAGATGCCCTGATAAACACTGTTAGCAAAGTGACAGATACAAAATCAACATAAAAGCCAAATAAGTAACTCTCCTATATACCACCAACACACTGAGAAAGATCAGGCAGACAACCCCAGTTAGGAAAGACCATCACACAGAGTCCTGGTCTCCCTGAGGACATTCTGCTATGCTCAAAAGCATGCCTCCTGCCCCTGTGGGCTCTATCTAAGGAAAGATGGTGTGGAAGAGGATGTCACAGACACCCAAACAATAGATTTCAGGGGCAAGAAAGTAACCAAGGGACCATTAAAGGTTCACAGTAACAATGCAGGCACAGCAGGACTGAAGACTTATCTGAGCAATGTTTAGGGAATAAAGGTTTTGACATCTGGGTTAAATGACAGCAAGTGTACGATTTTCTCTTGGTCTCCCAGATCCCAATAAAATAAATGAGACATAAACCAACAAAAACAAGTGCCTGCAGAACTGGAAAGTAAACAAACAAACAAAAAAAATGGAAGCCCAGGCCTAGCAGAAGCGCAGAAGTCAAGGACTCCAGGTCCTCCACAGCCTGGGGAGTGGGGAACACAAGACAGAGGAGCAGGGGAACAGACTGGACATGGGTGCTTAGAAGCAGCACTCTCCTAACACCAGGGTGAAATTCTTAGGTCCATGTGAGATAACTGATAGCACAGCAGGAAGGGAAAAGCTCTATGTGACAGGAACTGTATTCATGGTGGACTCAAAATCCAACTACCCACTTCCTATCAGGATTGTACACGCCACTGGCTTGTATGATGGTCTAAAGAGAAAGACCATTATGAGCCAAGGATGCACATATGCTGTCTGTGGGAGCAGGGTACCCTGAGGGGGACTGGTTAAAAACAAATTCCCTGTGGCTGGAGAGATGGTTTGGTGTTAGTGTATTGCTGCTTCTGCAGAGGATCTGCACCAGTCACATGGTGACTCATAACCATCTGTAATGTAACTATAGTTCAGGAGTCTGGCCTCTGTGGGCACTGCATGCACATGGTACACATACATACATGCAGTCACTTATACATGTAAATAAAAATAAATGCATTTTAAAATAAGCACTAGATAATGTCCACAGTAGATCAAGCCACAGTGCGGGCTAGTGGGGGCTGGAGGGGGGCTGAAAGGGCTGACTACCTTTTACCTGTGATAGTTATTATGAACTGACAACTCAACACCTAGGAGACAGGCCTCCAAGCACGTCTGTAAAGGACTGTCTAGATTAAGGTTAGAATGTCTGTGTCTTGAGTACACTAAAGGGGGAGTGGAGGCCCAGCTCCAGTGTGCAGAGACCATTCCCTGAGACAGGGATCCTGGACTGCAGCAACAGGGAGGAGCAGGCCGAGCACTCTTACTATCAGCACACGGACACTGCTCCCTGCTCTTGACCGTGAACGGAACAAAACCAATTCTCCTATCTTCCTGCTGCAGCGATGTGACTGTCATGATGCACGATAACCTGGAATTGAGAGTCCAATAAACATTTTCCTAAGTTGCGCACGTGTGTGTGTGTGTGTGTGTGTGTGTGCACACGCATTTGTGTGCACTCGTGCCTGCTTGTGCACATATATTCATACACTCAAGCAGTATTTGATCAGAAAAAGGAAGCAAATAAAAGGGATGACATAAGAGACTTTACTAAGTACAAAAGTACTTAGTATACAAAAGTACTCAGAACTGGAAAAGTATAAAGGTGGAAAGTGGATACACAGCCACCGAGGCTTCAGACATGGGGTGACAGCTCAAGGGCACAGGCTTCAATTCAAGGTACAAAATACTTTAAAATTGTGGAGATGGCTGTACAACTCTTTGAGTATGTTTAAAAGCAGTAAATTGTATAGTTTAACTGAGAAAGTTGTATGGTATGTAAATTAGCACTTATGAGAGGTTGCTATGTATCCAGTCTTAATTGCTAAATTCAGATGATGGACAAATCCCAAGTGCGGGTGAAGGCACGGAACAAAAGAACACTTACACTGCTAGAGGAACATAAAACCATGCGGCCACCTTGTTTGGGTGATAAACCACGAGAAATGAAAACACAGAAAGGCACAAACACAAATCTCCATAACAACTTCATTCATAGTAACCAAAAATGGAAAACTGTTCACATGTCACCACTGGCAAATGCACTGTGGTATGTACATGCAATGGATACTCCTTGGCTAGACAAACGAAAGGAAACTATTGCTGCATGAAACATGGAGAAATCTCTAAACTATCAATCATCTATCTGCCTAAAATCCTACAGCAGGGAAACAAACTTCTGCCGACAGAATCCAGATCCCAGGCTGCTCCAAGGCCGAAGGATGGGGAGAAGGAAGCTAACTGCAAAGGGGCAGGTGGTACTCGGGCAGATAAAACCCGTCTTTTGACTTTGGTGGCTATGAGATAACACGCCAATCAAAGGGGACGTTTAGAGACGGTGTTTGGCATCATGCCCCAGGTTGTTTAAAACTAGCTATAAGGCCCAAGCTGGCCTTGAACTCTCAGTGATCCTCCTGTCTCAGTCTCCCAGATGCTAGTATTACAAACATGAGCCATCATACTTTGTTTAAGCCATATGTTTACAAAGCTGCTTTTAAGAAAGATCCATTATTTAAGCCTACAGAAGCCCACAGCTTCGGAATGGTCCTACCAGGAGAGCTAGGTGCACTGACTCACGCTAATGACCCCAACAATGGAGAGGCAGAGGCACAGAGACTACTGAAGGCCAGCCTGAGCTACAGTTAGATGGTGAGAGGAGAGAAGACGGGAGATGAAAGGAAAGAAAACAAACAAGAAAGCCCAGTAAGAACGGCGAGGGAGAACAGGAGGCACATGTGTCTTATGTGCCTCTGTTCTAGACCACTTACAAGTCTAACAGAGTAGTTCTTACCAACTTGTTCTACTGAAGAGCAAAAGGAGGGGTTGGAACTCCTCTGAACAGGAGAGCGACTGAACCTGAGGGTCTGATGACCACATGTAGAATATCCCAGTCACCATAAGCACAAGGCTAGCTAGCACGGACCATCTGTGCCAGCTCTGATGTTTAAGCACTACCACTCTCCTTCTGGTTTACAAAAGTTGTTTAACTCACAGACTATCTACCCAAGTTCATAAAATTACTAATCATCTTTTGTAGCACATAGTTTGGGGAAAGCCTTGATTCATACTAGTTAGAGTTAGAGAAAACTCATTTTGTCCCACTTTTAGAACAAGCATTTCAACAATTCACTGATCAGAGTGGCAGGATGTAAAGGCTCAGATCTGGAATCCATTAGTACCCACATGAAGGGAAACATGATGCCAGCAACATAAATCTAGGCAAGGGTCTTGCATGTTCACACAGGGGATTAGGTACAAAGTTACTGATAAAACCTTACACCAAGCCAGGCATGGTTATACACATTTCTAATTTCAGCAGGTGGGAGGCAGAGGCAGGTGGATCTCTGTGAGTTCCAGGCCATAATGATCTATACAGTGAGTTCCAAGTGACCTCAGGCTACAAAGTGAGACCTTGTCTCAAAAGCAAACCCAGGGCTCGAGATCCGGATCGGTAGTTAAGGGCATGTACTATTTTTCCAGAGGACTGGAGTTCGACTCCCAGAACATATTGCAGGCAGGTCACAATCAGCTTCATGTCCACCTTCAAGAAGATCTGACGCTTCTAGCCTCCTTGGTAACTCCTGTCCACATACCCACATAGACATATAATCAACAATGATAAAACAAACCTCACCAATAACAGAAGGCCTCACATCTATCAGTACTCCATAGAAATGATTCACAGAACACGCTTCCTAGTAGAGTCCTACAGTTCTTCAGAAATTCATAACATTAGTGCCCCATCTAGTGGCCACGGAGAAAAATGTTTCAAGGCAGCCCTGACAACAGACTCGGCTCTAGCCACTTCGGAGCCCAGGGAGGTGCCACTTGGACCCGTCACTTCCCATGTCTTCAGCTGGGCCAGCCAAACTGTTGGCCTTCACCCTCTAAGCAGTCAGTGAGTCAGTCATCTAAGCAGCAGTGTATTCTTCTCCAACAGATGTATCCATTAGGTATTGAGGGGCTGAACAGGTAAGGACAGACACAATTCAGCTGGTTAGCACATGATCCCAACAGGAACCCCTCTAGACACATGGAAGGAGTGTTTGAGGGGTCTCTTAACAGAGAAAACACAGGCGTATCTGAACTGGGACCTGAGTTTTAGGCACTGAACTCTAGGTTGGACCCAAAAAGAGTCAGAACAAAACAGACTGGCTGCCCACCAGTCTTTATTCTTCCCCAGGCTGGCTGGCTCCAGAGTCTGAACTGTGGCAGGCAGGACACAGATTATATGCTCTCAGAATCCTGTTGGAGGAGACTGTGACTGAACTAGGCACTAAAAGAGTACATATAACTATACAAAGTCACCTGGGGAAAGGACATAGTGTTTGTTACTAAGTCACCTAAGTTTGCCAGCCCAGACTTTCCTCATCATGCCACATTAGATACCAAGTTGCTTTCTTACCTTCTATAAGCCTACCACCACCTACAGTCCAGCCCCCCCTTCAAACAGGATGATCAGCATCAATCAGAGTGTACATACACTAGGGGCACATGGAGAAGGGTAGCCACACAACGTGTTAGCATTCTGTCTAAACTCCAGCCCCAGTTACCTGGCAACAGCCAGGTAGGCCTGGCACACTATAAAAGGGGCTGCTTGACCCTCCTCTCTCTCTTGCTCTCTTGATCTCTGTCTCCTCGCCCCTTCCCCCTTCCCTTCCCCTCTCTCCACATGCTCAAGGCCAGCTTCTACTTCTCTTCTCTCTCTTTCTATCCCTCCCCCACCCCACCCGCCTCTACTACCCTCTTAACTCCCCTTCCCAAGACCTGAATAAACTATTCTATACTATACCGGAGTGTGGCTGGTCCCTCAGGGGTAAGATATGCCTCTGCATGGACCTGCTGAGACATCCCCTTCCCCTATACCTCACCATACACACCTCTGCAGAATATACTCTCTTTCTCTTTTTATAAACACGTCACAACCAGTCTTAAAGCAGTATACTTGCTGATCACTACTTTGGTCACCAACTGCTCTGGAGAGCTGAGTGGCCATTGCAGGTTTCTCATGGCACCATCACCTGCTTGCCAGTCACCTGACCCAAGGATTGCTCCTCCGCAGGCCTAGGTCCCGTCTCTGCAGCAGTCTTAAAGCTTCCTTTAATAGGCTGGCAAGAGCTAATATATGCATTTCAATGCTTTTTGTATTAGTCTTTTAAAATTTTAACTTTCTTCAGAAAACTCAAGAGAGGAGAGCCAGGCTGATCTTTAATTATTCTGCCCTCATTTATTTTCTCAGATATAAATTTTCTGTTCTCTAAAAGAAAGAACATTTTCATCAGAGACTTACAGTCTGAAGCCTTAAGTCCCCACACAATAGGAATCTGGTGACCCTAGATGCCACACACTGACAACTGCCAAAGAAAGACAGACGAGTGACCCTGAGCAGTTAGAGGAGAAGCCTTACCCTTTACTCATTGTTATTACTGTGTGTGCAGGGGAAGAGGGGAGGCTCTGTGGGTTTGCTCATTTCATGGTACACATATGGAAATCTGAGGACAACTTGTAGGGTCTGAGCTCTCCCACCATCACATGGTTCTGGTAATGAAATTCAGGTCATCAGGCTTGGTGTCAAGTATCTTTATAAGCTGAGCCATCTCAAAGGTCCACAATTTTCTTTATTTTTTATGCCACTTACTAAATCTATCAAAACATGAAAATACCTCTATGCATTTCTGTTATATCCACATATAGATTTTATATGTTAGCAATATGCATAGACCTTTAAATAATACTAGAGCAATCTTAACATATTTGTACAAAATGATGTCCCATTTTTTAAAAATAATTTTTTGAAAATTTATTTTTATTTCATGTATTTATGTGTATGAGTATATAGGTTCACCATGTATGTATAGTACCCACAGAGGTAAGAAGAGGCCACTGACCCCTGAAACTGGAGCTATGGATGGGAGCCTGGGTCCTCTGTAAAAACAACATGTGCTCTTAACACTGAGCCATGGCTCCAGCCCTTGTCCCACTGTTATTCAATAAATATAAAACAACACTTTATATGGCAGGGGCTATGGCTTAGTTGGTCGAATACTTACCTAGTATGTATAGAGCCCTCAACTGAACCCAGTACAACATAAAGTGGGGCTATGGTGCAAGTCTTTATTCCTGAACTTGGGAGGTTACAACCTGTGCCCCAAGCCACGTCTGGCCACTTGAACTCAATAAGCCTATTAAAAATGCCAATTTTTTACTTCTATAAACATTGCAGGTGTGGCTGCTGTGTTGCATGTATATCAGTAGGTGGTGGAGAGGAGAGGGGCTATGTCTATCCTCAGTGTTCTGACCTGTGAACATTACTTGAAAAAAGCAAGCCTGATAAGCACGGCAAGGGAATATAAATAAAAGATAAAAATATCTCTCTGGGTTCCCTGAGGGACAAGCCTGACTGCATAGGGGTTGATGTCAAAAGTATCCCCTCTCCAAGAAAAAGACATTGGGACGGGCATGGCCCTCATGCCTCACTGGACAACGACAGGGGGACCAGAGCCATTACAAGATCCCCTTCAATTACTGGAGGTCAGGCCTCTATCCCCGCCTTCGGAAGATCAGAATTGCCACAGCCCTTCTATACTTAGAGAAGGGAGGAGATGTCAGGGGCAGCCCTGCTTACACACTGAAGGTCTAAAATCAGCCATAGGCCTAAAATCAGCAATAGGCCTGTCATACATGTATACTAACACCATGTCTTGGGTCTCTGTGGAAAGACATTGAAACAGATGGCTATAAGCTATTGTAAACAGGCAGCTTTCATGGAAATTTACCAGCCTGAGGAGTCATAGACCTTGTAAATAGGTAGCCTTGGCAGACAATGCCAACTTAGATAAGGACAAGCGAGTCATAGGCAGAGTCATAGTGACCTGTCCCCTGAACCGTCACCCAGCTGATACCCTGTTCTGAAAGATATCTGTATTCCCCCTGAACACTCACGCTCCAGTGTCATCCCCTTCCCCACGTCCTGCCTTTCTGTGTTTATAACCTCGGTGTGAATGAATTACGATTTGAAAAAAATAAATAAATTATTAAAAAAAAAAGAAAAGAAAAATGATGGAGCAAAACACTATAATGAGAGATTGTGAAAATTTAAAAAATAAAAGTCACTAGTCAAAAAAAAAAGCAAGCCTGAGATGACTACAAATCAGTCTGGTGCCAGGGACTGTGGGCTCTAGGTGAGTCCAAGACTGAAGACCCTTGCAAAGATGACAGGCCTGGGTAAGGAACGAGTCTGAGATGACCACCAGTCCAGTGCCACACAGGCCTTGGCGAACAGACCAAGCCAGAGCTGAACCCTGTCCAGCACCATAACGCATGAGCAGGGCTTAACACTCCTGAGACCACTCCTGAGATGATTGCAGACACTCAGAGACCCTGGCCACCACTAAGTGGAGCAAGTAAGTGGTGGAGAGATGGAAGAGAAAGAGAAACAGAGGGATGTGGGCACAATGAAGTGGCAGAGCTGGAGACTGGGGGTAGTGAGGAACAGCCTGACGTGAGGAGCCAGTGAGACCACCTGAGACCATGGTGGGTTCCTGGTCTGTGCTGCCTTCGAAGGCCACATCTGGGTCCTTGGCTCAGTAGCAGGGTCTGTTACCACCAAAGGCCAGGTGGACATCCAGTCCTGGACACTCTGGAATATATTATGTCCCAGGGATGTGCAGAACGGGCCTCTCATTTTGTAGGAGTAGCAGGTGAGCTGGCCCTGCCATTGTCTTCCATGTGGTGGCACGGATGAGGGAGGAAATACCCTCCTTCCCACTGTGCCCCTCAACACCTGAGACAGGTGGGAGACCTGGCCAGGTTCATATGAGCAGGAGAGCTATTCTAACCCCTCATTAGCTGCAGCACTCAGGAGAGTGGGCCCTGCACCTTTCCTGGGCAGTACAGTAGAGCTGACCCTGATGTGTGTGTGGGTTGGGGGGGGAGGGGATGTGAACTGGCCCCAAGGGCATAAATGTGGAAGACCTGGCCCTGTCACTTTTCTGCAGTGTGGTGACACGGGCAAGGAAGAGATGCCCCTAGTCAAATACGGCAGGCAAGAGAGCTGAGCCCAAGAGTTGGCCCTGCCCCTCACTCATGCAGCACACGGGAGAAGGCCCTGCCCCTCACCTAGGCAGCACAGCCCTGGATGCAGGAGCTGTGGGTGAGCCAGCCCCAAGGACATTGTCTGCTATGTGGTTACATCAGTGAGAGAGTTCCCCTCCTGTCCTTTCGGCCCTCGCCTTGGTGGTGAGCTGGAGAGCTGGAAAGCTGGTCAACAGGGTCAGTGAGAGCAGGAGCCCTGCACCTCACTTGGGCAATACAGAAGACTTGGCCCTGGATGTGGGGGTTGCAGGTGAGCCTGCCCCAAGGGCACGAGTGTGAGTGTGGGAGAGCCAGCCCTGCCTCTTGTCTGCTGGGCAGTGGTGTGGAAAAGGAAGAATCGCGCTCCTCCCCTTCCTTGGCCCTTGTCATCTACGCAGGAGGGAGAGCCAGCCCTGGGGTCATGAGAATGGAGAATTGGCCTTGTCTCTCGCTGGCTACAACACTCGGGATATTGGAGCCTGCTCCTTACCAGGGCAGTGAGGTAGAGCTGGCCCTGGTATTGTGGGAGTTGCTGGTAATGCTGGTAAGCCAGCCTGGAGGGCATGAGAATGGGAGAGCTGGCGGGCTGATCAGCTCAGACACCTCTCAGGCCCAGACCTAGGGCTGTGAACTGACTCACTCCAACATCTATCTCATCAGTGAGTACATGAAGGGACTGGTTCTATTGACTCCAAACTACAGATCTTTATGAGGCAGGACAACAGGGTATCTGAGGGGAGTTTCAGTGAGGTTCCAGTACTGATAGAATAGCAAAAGCCAGAGACCTCATACCAGACTAAGTCCTTGCAATGAATATTTGAAAGCAAAGAAGTACAAACAATAGACTGTACTGTGGGACACACTGTCACACTACAGCTTCCACAATGAGATTTGGTTTTTCTCTGTTGGGGGAAGTGGCAATGGTGGAGGGTGGGCATGAGAGTAGAGGGAGATGACTGACACTGGGGTACATAATTCATAAAGAACCAATACACAAACAAAAGGGAGACAAATTAACAGTGGGAAATATACCCACACACCCATCCCTTCTGCATACAAATAAGTAAACAGTAATAAAAATTTTAAAAATTTAAAAGAAAGGTAAGGGTAATTGAGAGTCTGGATATAAGCCCATAATGTTAGCCAGTTTCCAACAATGGCTCCAAAACCATCAATCTCTTCAAATAGTGGTGTTGGGCCAACAACCTTACAATATGCAAAAAAAGCAAAGGTAGAAACCTCCCTTATCATACACAAGGATTCACTCAGAATAGACAGTTACATACACCATATAAATCAACAAGACCCTTAAAAGGAAGCAGAGATATATCTTTTGCTCTGGATTAGGCAATGGTTTTTCAAAGGTGACATTTAAAGTGGAAGAAACAAAAAAAAAAAAAAGTTTCTATATCAAAGAAACAGAACTAAAAAAGTGATGAGAAAATGCATAGAGAGAAAAACAAGATTTTCGATAACATGTATAAAACTCTTATCACCAGAACACATGAAGAATTTCACATGTGGGCTGCAGTATAGCCCTGTGGTTAGAGTGCTTGCCTGTCCTGTGTAAGGTAGACTGAGGGCTGCTAGGGGCAGGAGGCAGCGGGGAGTGAGGTGTGATTCCTAAGAGATAATGAAACCATTCATCATTCCATTGAAAAATTATTTAAGCAGTTAATAATAAATAATAAAATATTTATATTTATGATATAACTATATATAATAGATGAATATAAAAATTTAATAAAAATTATTTAAGAAAAATACTGGAGGAAATCTGGATCTTCAAAAATGAATGATATCAATAAGAATAGCATCTGTGTCTATGTATGTGAATACGAGATACTTTCTTACTATATTTAACATACAGGCAACTGTTCGATGAAAAAAATGATACAGTATGTTGTGAAAGTTTGGGTACACATAGGTGTAATACATACAAAGCCAACGTAAAGGTGGGGAGAATCATTAGACACATGCAATGACTACCATTCAGTATTTTAGAGTTGAACAGCCTTATTTTGAAAATCTGAAGCCTGAAATTCCTTTCTTTTCTTTTTTTCACTTTGAGATAGGGTTAATAAAGCAATATATAAATGCCCTAATACACAGGGTCTTATGCATTCCAGGCTGGCTTTATACTTCCTATGCAGCCAAGGATGAACTTAACCTACTGGTCCTCCCGTAGGTGTGCGTACACACTTGGTTTATGTACTAGTCTACTCAGGGCTTCATGTAAACACTCCACAACCAAGCTACATTTCCCAGCCCCTAAAACTGGACTTTTGACCATTTCAGATTTTCACATTTAAGATGTTCATCCAATAAATTGATGCAAATATCTCCAAATCTGAAAACACTTCTAGTTGCTAACATTTTCAATATGGGGTAATCATGCGTGTGTGAAGTTAGTTCACAGCACTAAAACTTCCACTTCCAGTCCCTCAGTAACGCCAGAGAGAACCCCTCTTTATATCCTATTTAAAATTTTTTTATTTTTTGTTGTTTGTTCTTGGACAAGGTCCTACTCTGTAGCCTATGTTAGCCCAGAAGTCACAGCAATTATCCTGCCTTAGCCTCCCAAGGACTGGGATTACTCGAGTCACTCTTTGGTTTGTAGTCAACAACTGGGACACACCTGTTTCCCCTATCCTGGCTCCTTAAACTAACCACCCAAGGTGGGAGAAGCTTGAGCTGTCAACTTCTTTTTGGGACAGAGAAGTTGTGTGAGGGCTCTGGTATAGGACATTTCCTGAATCGTACAACACAAAGAAGTCACCCTGTTAGCTTAGAAAACTAAGAGAAATCAAAATGAAAACAGTAAAAACTATAGTAAGGCTGGACTTGGTGTGAAGAAAGCATTGGAGTGCTAGTTCCTGGACAACCTGGCAGGAGTGTAGCAGCCCTGGGCAGGAGGCTGACCAAGGGAGGCTGGGGAGAGGAGGCAGTATCAGTGGTAGACTTTCTGAGGCCTTCTGCTATAAAAATAAATGTGGCCTAGAACAGACGTGCCTGTTATTATTTGAGATCTAGCTGGCCTTTGTCCCACTTCCTGCCACATAGCTTTCACCCCTAAAATTCCTAAATAGTAATCCTTTATCACGGTCTGTTTTGATGAGCTTCTGCCAGTGACTGGCTTATTAATTCAGCTAGCCCAGAAGGGTCAACTGAGAATTTGAGGCTAAAACTTCTACCCTACTCACACACCCCTAAAACCGTAAGCAGCGAAGATTCAACCCCACACAAGCCAGCAAGGCCAGCTGATGACCTTCCACATCTTATAAAATACAGAGAAGCAGTGCTCCTGCAGAGGGTATGGGGGCTTCAGGCCTAACACCCTTTGTACAGCTCTTCTACTTAGTTGTTCCTGACAGGCACCCCTTGTAACAGACCAGAGGAGTGAGGACAGCAACCTAACACACCGGGGAGATGAGGAGTCCTAACAGGCCAGGAAAGGTGAAGAGAGCTCTTCCTTGAATACTGTGAGCTACTCAAAAACCATCAACTCAAGCAGGGAGTAATAGAAGCCCAGCTTATAGCTGATGGAGCAGAAGTGCCAGAGGCCTGGACTTATGACTGCCATCTCAAGTCAAGGCAGACCTGAAGGACTGAGCTCCTACCTTGTGGAATCTGACCCAAGCCCAGGGAGTGTCATAACTGAGCCATCCTGTGGGTCCTAAGTGAGCAAGAGACTTTCCCAGTGAGGACAGGACCACACACATCTGAAGTCAGAAATATTATGAATATTGACAGTTCATCTGTGCTTTCCGAAATATAAATTCTTCATTCTTCAGTGCCCTACCCCAATTCCTTCTTAGCCTGACTTCCAGACCCATGAGCAGTCGACATCTTTATTTCTCCTCCATCTGTTTACCAAGACTCACTGCTAGTATGTAGCTTTAACTGACCCCAGGACAGATGGCTCCCATACTGTAACTGCCAATATCCCTCTGAAGCTGTCTATCCACTCACCTGCCTGTCCCCTCCACTGAGCACTGTATGGGAAATACCTGAAATTGGATTTGGCACATCTCAGTAGACAGTCCTGGCTCTGATGTGTATCATTCCAGCTACCACCCCAGGTCTCTAAAGCCCTCCCCATCTCAGCCAATGGCCAAACCATCTCTCTGGTTCTGGGTTCAGTTCTCAGTCTAGGTCAGACAATGAACAACAGCCTTCCTCAGCAAACCCAGGTATACGGAAAATTATACATATACATACACACATGACTTTTTTAAGTCCTGAACTAGTCAGTCATCACTACATTGCTACCATCCTGATCTGGTCTGAACATTCAACAGCTCTCCGCCACCGTCGCCTTCCACCCTAACCTCAGTTGCCAGCACAATTCTGTTGTGGTAAATATTAATATCGGTTAAGGGTTTCTAGTCTGCCTCTGATCATTTAGTTCCCAGATAAAAGACACAAAACGTTTATATTTATAATAAGCTTTAACAGGATTAGAGCTGGGCAGAGACTACCCTCTAAGCTCTTAGTATCTACTTGCCTATCAGTAATCCCAAGTCATACCTTGCCATGCTCTGTCTGGGTTGCTCTGACTCCGACTGGCAAGCCCTAGCCCTCATGGACAGTTCTCACTCCATGGTGTCTTCCTCTCTTTTCTCTCCATTCCTCAGACATCCTCTGCTCCTCAAGCATCCTCCTCATGGTCCTGCCTCAGACCTCAAGTCTGAGACTGAAGCCCCACCTACCTCTCTTCTGCCCAGCTATGGGCTGTAAGCATCTTTATTCAACCAGTAGCTTTAAATTAAGGAACAAAAGCTGGTAAACCTGAGGATTCACTCACTGTAGACCTGGACCATCAGCACAGAGTTTAGCATTACAATATACAGCAACAGACCCCACCTCAACACAAGTCCACTTCACCCCAACAGTCTCCACACTGTGTTCCCTGACCTACCGACCTTAACTCCCACCTAAGTTTCCCTTTGATGGATGGATTGTGTCTTCAAAATCTACAAATCTATATTCCTAACTACCCAAACCCCAAAGTGACTGCATTTGGAGACAGGATATTAAAGAACTGACATGACCTTTTCAGTGGAAATGGGGACAAAGACACAGAGGGAATGTCATGAGAACATAGGAAGAAGATGGTCACCTTCAGGCCAACATGTCTCAAAACAAACAACCCTCAGACACCCGAGACATTCAACTTCCATGGCTGTGAGAAAATAAGTTCCTGCACAGCAAGTCTATGGCACAACAGGCGCTAACCATACATAGTGCTGTCTCCATGTACTTACTTTTCAACCCATAGGACAGAAACCAGCTTCGCCCCGGTCTTATGGGCTTTGTCCCAGGTGCTCTGATATCCATCTTTGAAGATCACATGGGTCACTTGCTTGTTCAAAGTTTTTGAAACCTGTGGACAAAAAAAAAAAAAAAAAAACACCTCATTGCTATTTACCCATAATTTCTTAAATAAAGTGATTAACCCAAAAATGTCCCTGTCCAAAGAAAAGTCAGGGACAAAAAATGGAGCAGAGACTGAATGACGGGTCATCCGAGTATCATTCCATGTAGGGATCCATCCTGTCTGCTGACACCAAACTCGGACACTGCTGCTGTTGCCAAGAAGTGCTTGCTGACAGGAACCTGGTGTGGTTGCTCCCTGGGAGGTTCTGCCAGCATGTGACCAATGCAGATGTGATGCTCACAGCCAACCATTAGATTGAGCTCAGGGCCCCAGTAGGGGCCTGGTGGAAGGACTGGAGGAGCTGAGGAGGATTGCAACCGCATAGGAAAAATAATGTCAGCTAGCCGGACCACCCAGTGTTCCCAGGGACTAGACCACCAACCAAGGAGTGTACATGGAGGGACGCATGGCTCCAGATACATATGTAGCAGAAGATGGCCTTGTCTGACATCAATCAGAGGGGAGGCCCTTGGTCCTGTGGAGGTTTGATGCTCCAGCACAGGGGAATGCTGGAGTGGTGGGGCAGGAGTGGGTGGGTGTGTGAGCACCCTCACAGAGGCAAAGGGGAGTGGGGAGAGGGCAGATGAGATAAGGGGGTTGTGGAGGGGTAACCAGGAAGGGGGATATCATTTGAGATGTAAATGACAAGAATGATTATTAGAAGAAGATGAGGAGAAGGAAGAAGAGGAGGAAGAGAAGGAGGAGGAAGAGGGGGAAGAGGAGGAGGAGGAGGCAGAGGAGAAGGAAGAAGAGGAAGAGGAAGAAGAAGATGACCATTCAAAATCTGTCAAAATGAAATGATCAAAAATCCCTTACCCCAGAATTTTACTTCCTGGAATACACCAGAAAATTACTATGGTGAATGTGGAAAGATGCTTGAAAATCAACACGCCCACTTTTGCATAGTGTGGTGGTACACAACTTTAATCCCAGCATCCAGTCTTCAGGAAGCAGGAGCAGGAGGAGCTCTATGAGTTTGAGGCCAGCCTGGTCTACATGGAGAGTTCCAGGACAGCCTCCCTACCTCTCCCTACCAAAATACATCCGCTGCAGTTAGAGTGAGGATCAGCATCCATGTAACCCTTGCCACATAAAGCTTCCGCTCCAGTCACCTCTGTCCCCCACGATAACGCTTCCATGCATAGAACAGAGTCGGAATCCTTTGGGTACAAAGGGAAAAGGAGAGAGCAAACCAGGAGAAGGCCCCTGAGGATAATGGGCAGGAAAAGAAGAATGGACAGGAGGAGCTACCACCTAATAATGCTCAGAACCATAAAAACCAGGTATGATTGTAAATAACTATAATCCTAGTGTTTTGATGGTAACAAGACCATATATTTAAGGCTATCTTCTTGTACAATTAGTTCTAGACCAGCTTGAGTACATGAGATCCTGTCTCAATAGGTAAATAAATAAATATCCCTCTACATTAGAGAGATACAATTTAATTCAGAGGAAAGAAACACAAAAGAAATACATATTTAATTAAAGTTAAAAACAGTATTTTGAGATGACTAGATATTTATGTGATGTAGTGGTTTGAATAGGTTTGGCCCTCGTAGACTCCTGTAATTTGAATGCTTGAGCCATAGGGAATGGTACTGTTAGGACATGTGGCCATGTTGGAGAAGGTGTAGCCTTGTTAGAGGAAGTGTGTCACTGTGGGAGCAAGGCTTTGAGGTCTCAGATATATGCTCATGTTTGGCCAGTGTGATCCAGACACTCCTCCTAGCTGCCGACGGATCAAGATGTAGAACGCTTGGCTCCGCCAGCACCAAGTCTGCCTGTACGATGCTTCCCACCATATTGATAATGGACTAAATCTCTGAAACTGAATGCCAGCCCCAATTAAATGCTTGTCTTTATAACAGTTGCTTTAGTTATGGTATCTCTTCACAATAATGAAACCCTAACTAGGACATGTGATAAGATCAGATATTTCAAAAGGGTCAAAACCTAAAGGGTTACTACAAATTTAAAAATCTTAAAAAAAAAAAATCCACAGAAATAATAGGTAGCCAGGGAGAGAAAAGAAAATCTCCCCAACAATAGAGCACACAGAAAATTGTTAACAGGGAAAGACAGGACCATAAAAGGCAGAGATCATAATCCTGGAGCCAAATTATGGAGTTAAAACATATACAAATCAGGGAGATGAGGCAGAAATTATAAAAGAAATGATCAAGGAAAACTTTCTAATCTCAGAGACATGCATTCTGCCTCAAAAGAACCCTCCAGGAGCACAGCTCAAGTGTGAACAGTGAGTGCTACACCAATCACATGCCCTAGTCCGGGTTACAGTCACTTCGATGAAACAAAAGCCACTTGGGGTGGAAAGGGTTTATTTGTCTCATGCTTCCTTGTCACTGAAGGAAGAAGTCAGGACAGTAACACAACAGCAGGAACCTGACACAGGAGCTGATGTAGAGGACATGGAGGGGTGCTGCTTAAGGCTTGCTCCCTGTTGTTTGCTCAGCCTGCTTTCTTCACGAATCTAGGACCAGCAGCCCGGGTCAGCACCACCCACAATGGATGGAGCCAGCCCCTGTCAATCACTAATTAAGAAAAACGCTCTATGGGCTTACTAAAACCCATCTTACAGAAGCTCCCTCTTCTGATGACTGTGGCGTGTCAAGCTGACATAAAACTAGCCAGCACATATGCCACCATAGAATATCAGGAACAAATGTTGAAAGGGTGAAAATGAGGAAAAGCTGGAGACAAGACAAACTTCAGGCAAGGAGAAATACCTAGATCAGACACTGCCAAAGCAATCTGCCGTCAGAAAATAATTTAGCAGCTGGGCCATGATGGCACAAGTCTGTAACCATAGCGCTCCAGACACTGAGGTACGAGGATCATCACAATGAGGTTGAGGACAGTTACAGAGTGAGACTTTTGTGTCAAAAAGGTAATGAAGACATTCCTTCAAGGAGAGTACATGGTAACATTTTACAATCAGCTAAAATATTAATCAAGTACTTTCACAAAGCCATGTCAAAAATATGCTTTGGGGGACTGTGGAGCTGGTTCAGTCAGTGAAGTGAGGTTTTGTAAGCATTAACATCCTCAATTTGGTATTCCAAACCTGTATAAAAAGTCAGGAATGGTAGTGTGTGCTTATAATCCCAGCACTGGGGAGGCGTGAATCTACGGTCTCAAGCGTACTAGGCAGATGTGCTATTACTGAATTTTATACCTATGTCTCTAACCTTGTATTTTTTTTTTTAAATTGTGATATAGGATCAAGATAAATTACCCTTCAATTTGGTAATCTGCCTCATTCTCCCAAGTAGCTGGAACGCTGTCCTGTATTGCTGGGCCAGGCTCAGTGTGTGCAGGTAGGGTTTTCCACTATCTGGAGGTCCAGGCATCTATTGGGGATCTTGGGCTTTATCCTCCCTGGAAAGTACGGTATACTAGAAATATGAAGACAATTAAAAACAAAGCATCTGGGGTCTGGTGATGTCTCAGTAGGTAAAGGAAAGCACTTGCACCATCAAGCCCAATGAGCAAGTGTATCCCCAGGCCCAGCATGGCAAGAGACGGCCTCTGGCTGTCTTCTGACCTCCACATACATGCCATGGTGCTCTGGCTCTCCACCCAAGTATTTTAAATTGCCTTTCAAAAACAGAAGAGACCAGGAACTTGGTTTAGTGACAGCGTACTTACCTACCTGTGTCAGGCCAAGAATTATATTTCAGTAGGAAAGGGCAAATGGCAACTGGCCTCTCAGGTTTCATTACAGGTTTCGAAGCCCCATAGAGCAGAGGTTTCAGACATGCACAGGTGTAACTTTTGTAAACTGTTTCTCGAGACACCAGAAAGAGCCTAGCTGAGGACCTGGGGACATGCTCCCCGAGGCTTTCATCAACGTTACCAGACAGGAAGCAGCAGCTTGAAATGTCTTTCAGGAAGGGTGTAGGATGCATACTACAAGCCTTAAAGGAGGATGTGATAAATCCCACACTTTGGACTGAGCTGCCATGAACTGCATCTAGACAGAGGCATGAAATATACACTGGCCCTCCTAAAACGGATTTCCACTTGGTGTGCCACATGCCTGTGGAACAAGACATGTTGTGTCCCTTCAGTAAAAAGTAGGGTGACCTTCTACACAGAAAGTGCCTGGTTTACAGCAGTTTTACCTGGGATTGTTTAATTCAAGGTGGTAGGGAAGTGCTATCCAGTTAGTATATAGAAACGGCACTTTGTTCTGGCTGGCTCCTAACTGTAGGACACACATCATGTCTCATGATGCAAAGAACAGCAGCAATTCTCAGTCAGGCCCAAGAGCCTCTCCCCACCCCCACCCCAGAGCTGTTAAGCTACGATCCTGTGAGTATTAAATACCATTTCAATTTACAGGATTTTTTTTTCTGGTTTTACAATGAGTATATGGGTTCTGACTCTACTGTAGGTGGCAGGGCATCTGTGCAGATTCCTCTGCTCTCAGGTTTTGACCCGACTTCATGGGGTTGGGGGGTGCGGTTAAATACGGCCAGTGCTGCTCTAATACCACCTTACTGCACCCTACTCCTCACCCTGACATGAGGAGTTATCCAGTCACTCATTCATCCACTCAGCCTGTCAGGGAGCGTCTCACGAATGCTGAAGCAAGCAAACACACTCTATTCAAGCAAAGCTTCCCATCAGAGCAGTCTGTGTTCACTGTCTCCACTTCTTCCTAAGCCAGGAATTTCAGACTCACCCTGAACCCCTTGACCTCAGTAAAGGGAAAGTGAACTAAGGCCTCATAGTTGTCATCTTACCTTGCCTTAAGGCTCTGTTGTTCGGAATGCCCATCTTTTAAATTCTTCCATACTTGCTTTCTATATGCTCTTGACAATTTTTTTCCCTTTCTTGTTCCCGAGTTGGTGGTCAGGCCATCACTGATCCTTAAACACTCAAAAAAGCCTCCTCTCCCTCCTCCTCTTCTTCTTCCTCCTCCTCCTTCAGCACTCCTCAGGCTAGCCAGGATCTGAATTAGGTACTAACCTCTTCTGACCCCCACATCACAGTCTATAGCTCTGACTGCCTCAAGCTCCAGACATGAGTAATCAAATGCCTATGAGATGTTTCCAATACGCCTAAGGTCACAACCTTCTCTTGGAATCCTGCTCATTCTCCTGCATCTTTACTCTCTTGACTCCAAGTACCAGGGCTCATTGAACCAACACCAGACTCATGTTTCCTACTAGACTTCTCCTCACACAATGCTTCCAAGACCGTCTCCTTTGTAAGCACTACTGTCCACCTTGTATTTGGTTGGTTTGTTCTGTCTCCTACCGCTCACCCACCGCTAAGTAATCTGTGCTCTAAGGAACAGCTCCCGTAACAAGAAAACACCAAGAGGCTATCAGTCATTTTGATATTAATTTCTTACCGTTGCCCCCATGTCCTCAAGTTGCTTTGTAAACGTCTTGGAGTAATTCTCTGTCCCTTTGGAAGACCATACTTCAACATAGGCCACAATATCTGAAAATAAGCGAGATGTTAGCAGGAAACACACACTGGTAACTGCACACCCCCCTCCGGCAACAGATTTTTGTCTTGTTCTGTTTAAGATGGGGGGAAAAAAAAAGGGAAAATTCCCCATTACGAATCTATTCAAAACATTATCACTGCTGTTTTGGTAGTGCTTTACATCTTCTTCATCCAGGCTTAAGTATCCTGGATTATGCTTTCTGGAAAGAAGCAGTAATGATTCCAGGCTTTCCGGCCCAGACTTATCTTCCAGTAACACAATTTTATGGCCATAGCATACACAGTAGTGTAACAAGCTAATATAGTTTGGTTCTAATAAATTATTTCTATGAAGTTGGGCATCTTAGCACATAGGGATTATAAAGCGGATGCAAGAGCATCAAGAGTTCTAGGCCAAAGCCTGTGGGGGTGGGGGTGCTGGATTTGGTAGTCATGTATGCCTTTAGTCCCAGCGTTTGGAAGGCAGAGGCAGGCAGATCTCTGAAGCCAGTCTGGTCTACTGACTGAGACAGAGTTTCCAGGCCCAGGAAAGCTAGGGCCATGCAGAAAAACTTCATTACACAAGCAACCCCTGCCCCCAGGCCCCCAAACCAAACCAACCAAACAAAAAAAGGAGTGTTAAGCCAGCCTCATCGGCATGGCAAGTTGGAGGCCAGCTTGTCTTTACAATAAATAAACAAATGAATGAATATTTACATATATTTATTTTTATTTATATACATTTATGTTATATAAATGTATTTATATATTTATAAATAAATTTATTTATATATTTACTTACACATAAATATATTTATAAACACCTATATATTTATTTACATATACATATATTCATACATTTACTTATATACATATGTTTATATATTTATGTACATATACACATATATACACACACACACACAAATATATATTTACAGTCCCCTCACCCAGGGTCCCATGTTCTGGGTACATGTTGTTGGCACGAAAGGAATAGGGGAGCTCCACAAGTGTCAGTTCTACCCAGGTGGGACCCTTAAGAGGCCATCACATTATTACCAAATCATTGCTTTTCCTGATCCCACAAATGCCCAGGCCATAGAGGCCAGAGGCTCTCACAAAGCTAAGATAGGACCTGATCCTTCTGCCAGCTCTCCAGGGCTCAGCACGCATGGGGGTGAGGTGGGGGGGACTGGGGAACACATCGGTGGCACGGCACGCATTCGGGAGGCCGTTAGGGTCACATGGTGAATGTGTGTAGGGTGTCCACACAGGTGGTCGGGATCCTGAGTGAGGGGACTCCGGGTGTGAGGATACCCTGAGTCTGAGGGGACCTAGGATGTGAGAGGACCTGGGGTGTAAGGAGACCTGAGATCTGATTGGACCTGGGATGTGAGAAAGGAAAGACAACCCGGCACTGCACTCGGACACTAGACCACAGCCCCGCTCCCAACTGGGCGTGTCTCCTCACCTTTCAGAAAGGCGCCCCCAGCGCCTCCCGAGGCCTCCATGACCCGACCAGCCGCCGCCGGACCGAGCGTGCGCGGGCAGGAAGGCAGCGCGGTGCGCCTGCGCAGGCCGTGCGGCGGGGTTCGGCGCGTCAGGCTTAGGGGTGTGTGCAAGGGCTCCGGTCTCCCTTCCCTCTCCGAGAGCTCCGGGCTCTGTGACACACTACGGCGAAGGCCTTGATCCCTCACGGGCGGCCCCGAAGCGATCCCGGAGCCCTGGCTGGAGTCAGCCGGCCGCACCGCGGCTTCAGGGCGCTGGTCAGTGCCGCTTGTCCGGGAAGAGCCCACGTCCTCGTCACGCAGCGCCCGGTGATCCGGGAGGGGGACCCACCCGTGGGCCCTGCCCCAGCCCCACACCCTGGAGCGCGAGCCCGGCTACTGAAGCCTCAGCGTGCGCTCGGGTCTTCAAACCTCCCGGCGAGTCTGCGAAGGGGTGGAGCTCAGAGATAAGCCCGCCTCCGCGCGCAAGGGCTGCTGGGAGTGGGAGGCTCGAGACACCCTCGGGGGCACACCCGCCGGGGAGAGCCTGCTCTTCTGCGGATAACGGTCTCCTTTTCGTCACTTTAAGCACCGGGCGTTAAAACAAACAAACAAACAAACAAAAAACCCATCTTGTTTGGATAGACCGGTTGTTTTTGTTTTTATATTTATTTGTTACACGTATGAGTACTTTGCCTGCATGTGTGTATTTGCGCACGTGCGTGCCTGGTGCCCGTGGAGGTCATAAGAGGGTGTCAGATGCCCTAGGGCAGCAATTACACAAGGTTACGTGCCACTATACGGGTGCTGGGGACCAAATCCGGGTCCTCTGCTAGAGCAAATGTCCATAACCACTGAGCCATCATCTCTATACCCCCTGGTTGGTTTTTAGAGAGATGGTCTTGTTTTCTAGCTCAACAACTCAGCCGTTCTCCCGACTCAGCCTTTCCCGAGTGCTGGGATTACAGGCTGTGCCACCGCATCCAGCCCTGCATCATTTATTAAAAGGTGAGCCAAATGTATATAATGTTCCTTTACCCATAGTTCAATCTCCCCTTGTTTCATTATGAAGACCATAATCCTTCCACAGGCTTAATAAAAACACAGCACTGAAAATCAGACACTCATAATCTAGAATTTAGGAGTATGCTTTGGAATTAGAGTGGACTTTTTGAAGGTTTTGTTGATCCCTTCCCTACTTTGCTAGTCTTCGAAGGGAATTCGTCTTTATTGTCTCAAGTTTTGCTTCTGTCAGAAGGCATTATATACCTTGGGGTCAAGGATTGGGAATAGGAAGCCACCCTTGACTACACAGAGTGTGTGTATATACATATACATATATATATATATATATATATATATATATATGATATAATAAATATATATTTTTAAAGGCCAAAATTCCAAGTAATTAGCTGTTATTGGAAATTAATGAATTGAAGCAGCCTTCACTAAACCAACAGTGTAGGAGCTTTCACTAGGCAGTGCAAAGAGAAACTCAGTTAAATGGCCCCTTGTGGCGCCTATTAGCATACCAAAGTGTCTGCTGGCCTCTAGGCTTAGGTACCTGTGGCTCCTCTTAGCTCTTCTCAACCCAACCCCTGCTCTAAACTTCTCCAGCTCTTGGGCTTCAGTTCCCTAAGCTTCTCATTCCTTTATAACCCCGCCATTTCAGCTAGGCACTTAGTCCATTGACTTCCCTTCCCTCCCCTCCCCTCCTCTCCCCTCCTCTCTCTTCTCTTCTCTTCCCTTCTCTCCTCCCTTTCCCTCTCTTCCACTCCCCTCCCCTCTCCTCCTCTCTCCTCTCCTCCTCCCTCCCTCCTTCCCTCCCTCCCTCCCTCCCTCCCTCCCTCCCTCCCTCTTTTGCTTTTCTCTCTTCTCTTCCATCTTTCTCCCCGTTGCCCACTCCTCTCATGGCCTGATCTACTCTGTTAGCCAAGTTCAGCACAGAATGTTCTCTTCCTGCGGTAGATTTTTCCAGATGCCCCAGAGGGCTGAACTCACCCCTCCTCAGCTGTACCTGGAATGGTCGTGCATTCACTTTATATAGGCAGTAAGAGCAGGACTTGAATTCCTAAGAAGGAACACAGAGTCAGAACCATGGCTTCACTTTGCTTTCAGACTTCTTTATTTGGCTATTTGAGGTGAACTGGAATCTCCTCTTACATTTTGGTTTCTTTAACCTTTCACTTGAATTATCTGTCACTTAGCATGACTGACTCCATTTTGGTTTGATCAGTTCTGCTGGACCTGGTATGAAAACTTAGTCCAAAGCAAAGGGCCTCTCAGAATCTTTGTTGAATCATTTCTTTTTTTTTGTTTTGTTTTTTGTTTGCTTTTTTTTTGTTTGTTTGTTTTTTTTCTCTGTGTAGCCCTGGCTGTCCTGAAACTCACTCTGTAGACCAGGCTGGCCTTGAACTCAGAAATCCGCCTGCCTCTGCCTCCCAAGTGCTAGGATTAAAGGTGTGTGCCACCACCGCCTGGCTGTTGAATCATTTCTAATAGGCTTTCTCTGCCTAAAAAATTAGCCACTTTGAGCCAAATTAAGACATTTTTTAAATGTAGATTTATTTGGGAATGACCTCCCAGGAAAGTTCACTAGGCTCGGGAGAAGACTAGAAAAAGTCTAGGACAGACTATGGCTGAAGAAGTTGTTTTTTGTTTGTTTGTTTGTTTTTAATAGATTATCGGTGAAGGAAAATGGCCTGTCTGCCAGACGCTTATGCCCTGGTATGGTCATCTAGGGTAAAGGACTTCAGGTGAGGGGGATGGGATTGGAACAGCTTTCAGGAATGTGGGACTAGGTGTTTGGCATCTTTTTCTATTCTGAGGCTTTCCAAGTGGTCAGATGTTAGAGAGGAAGAGAAAAATGGAATTGATGGGACCATGTCAGGGAGGGGAGGAAGCCAGGGACTCCAATCAAACAATTTCTCGCTTTGTACACACTCTGTCCCCCAGACAACATGAGCTTGACTCCCAGCACCATTTGAAAGGTTTGCCATCTCATCCTCAATAACTAACTCTTGGTGAGTCTGAGCCAACAAGAATGAGTGCAGGCCTAGTTGGCTAGCCCCATACGCATGAACCTGTAATCACCTTTGAAAAGTGGGCTTTTGGTCAACTGAAAAATTGCAATAGATAAGATAGATCAGAGAGGATGAAGGAAGTGTGGCAGACATTGTGGATGTCCATGAATGGCTTATGGGGATTCCCCCCCCCTCCCCGTTTATGTGTTTTTCCTATAAGCCTGAAATTTGTTTAAAAAGGAAAGGTTAGGAATAATCTGTCAGAAAGAGAAATAGTAGGCTAAATAATTTGGCCGAGATGACCCTAATCTTGCTCACAGAGGCTGGAACCAGTTGGGTATTCTTCCATATTTATGTACACAACAGTAGCTTGTCTTGATGCTCTGACAGAAATACCAGAAAAAAAAAAAGCAACTTAAGGAAGGAAGAGTTTATTTTGGCTCACAGTTCAAGGGTACAGTCCATTTGGACATGGAAGCCATGGTGGTAAGCATGTGAGGTAGCTGGTCACCCTGCATCTCGGGAGGAAGGAGGGGGTGGGGAGAAAGAGAGAGGGGGGAGGAAGGGGAAGAAGAAGGAGGAGGAGGAGGAGGAGGAGGAGGAGGAGGAGGAGGAGGAGGAGGAGGAGAAGAAGAAGAAGAAGAAGAAGAAGAAGGTGGTGATGGTGATGGTGATGGTGATGATGTTGTTCGGCTCTGTTTCTCCTCTCTTTCAGTCTGGCTTCCTAGCCTGTGGCCCGATGCTGTCCATATTTAGGGCTGATGCCCACACCTCATAATCTAGAGAATTCTTCCCAGAGATTTGTTTCAGTATTAGCTCTGAACCTTAGCAGGTCAGTAAGATTAAACATCATAGGTTGTGGGGGGCGGGATATTCAAGCAAGAATCAAATGAATCAATCTATGTATTCATTCAGTCTCTTAGTCTGACGAGGGCTGCAGTGATAAAAGACCATGAACTGTGGTTCGTAAACAGTAGAAATTTATCTCTCAGGTTTTACAGGTTGGAAGTCCAAGGACAAGCGCCTACAGACTGGATGTCTGGGCTAGCCTGGTCTATTTCATAGATGACACCTGGTAACTCTAGCTCCAGGAGATCTGCTTCCCTCTACTGGATTCCATCAACACTACATTCAGGCAAGCACATTCTCACACAAAGACACATCATACAATTAAGAACAAAACCCAAACCAACTCCTTAAAAGCACTACTTGTGTCCTTCCGGCCTGTACCTTACACCAGGGCAGATCAGCAATGTGTCTGTCCCAGTGAAGGCCTCCCAGGAGATCTGCTGCACCCAGGGCCACAGGTCTACAGGTCTCCCAGTAGCCCTACAGCAATCCAGGGCCAGCAGAATGAATGTAAATATGCAACCTTTGGGGATGGGAGGTATGCAGGGGGGGGGGACCCTCTAGAAAGTACCAGAGACCTGGGAAGTAAGAGACCACCTTAGATGAAATGCCCAACATTGGGGAGAGGGAACTTGTAGAGTTCACCTCCAGTAGAAAGACAGGGCATCAAGTGGAGCGATGGGGTTGCCATCCCACAGTCAAAAATTCTGACCCAGAGTTGTTAATGTCTAAAAGAGCTGTGGGTACAAAAATGGAGAAGAGCCTGAGGGAAAGGAGGCCCAGCTTGAGAACCATCTTAAGGAGAGGCCCTAAGGCCTGACACTATTACTGATGCCATGGTGTGCTTACAGACAGGAGCCTAGCATGACTGTCCTCTGAGAGGCCCAACAAGCAGCTAACTGAGACAGACAAAGATACTTACACCCAACCATTGGACTGAAGTCAGGGACCCTTGTGGTAGGGAAAGGCTGGAAGAAGCTAAGAGGGAGGGCATCCCCATAGGAAGACCAGCAGTGTCTGGACCCATGAGATCTCTCAGATACTGAGCCACCAACCAGGCAGCATACACAAGTTGGTCCTGTAGGACTTTCGGGTCTAAATGTAGGACTTTTGGGTCTCGGTTTGAACTTAAAATTGAAAGTTTGCAATGCTTTTAAAAAAA